CCGGCCCGGCCGCCTGCCTCCTCCCGAGGCCCGGGCAGGGCCCGGCGCGTCCAGCGGAGGAGCTGTGCTGTCGGGGGATTCACTTTGGCGTCAGCATCAAAAAGGCAATCCGCGTCGCAACGTCACCCGATGGGGGGCTGAGGGATACCCCAGCTCCTTCCCTCTCCAGGCCTATTGCCGGCTGCTGTGAAGGCAGCAGGAGTGGGTGAGGAAGGATGAAAAGCTCTTTTAGGAGTCTGGGGGCACCACTTTCTGCTGGGGGGGTCCCAGAAGCGTGTAAGAAGAGGCATGCCTTTATAGGGCCGTCGGGGCAGGTGGAGGAAGCAGACAAGCTCACAGGCACACAAGTACTCAAACCAGGGTAAGAAATGTCCGTCACCCAAAAATCACATCCGAGAGTGATTATAGTGGTGTCAGTCATAAAATGGTGCTTAAAACATTTACATTTTCCCTATTTCATACTTTTCATTTAATAATTGTGTCTCACCCTGTTCCTTCAAAAGCAAAATGCTGTATGCGGTGCCAGGCTGGGCCCACAAGGGCAGGAGCTCCCGAGAGAGGAGGGCAGCCTCCGAGAGCAGGATGGACGCTGGTGACTCCTACTCTGTGCGCTTGGCACCGCTACTGGCCATCTCTCGGGAGCATAGCCATCTTTTCTTCTTTAACCCAGAGGATTTAGAGGGTTCGCAGCCACTGTTTCACATCGCCGGTCCTTGCTGGCTCAGCAAGGCTGCCCCTTGGCTTCCACCCTGAGCCTGCTGCTCTGCTCCCCTGTGGAGTGCCTCGGGTCGCAGCTCAAGGAGGATGCACCCAATTTAAGGAGAGAGCCTATGGGAGCCGCCCTGACCGGTTGCTTACCTTAAGCTCCATCAGACAGCAAGCTTCTCAAAAATTTATTTGGGTAAAATTTTAGGCTGTGCCAGGATTCGAGTAGAAATTATTGGTGACTCGAGAGAAAAGCAGACTATTTGCTTATTAAACCTTCTTTAATTCTTCCTTGGGGCGCAGGTGACACAAGCAGTGCAAGTAGTACCTAGTGACAAAATCCCGGGTACGGCAACTTTGCCAAAATGATGCCAAGTTCAATATTGTTCTGCCTGTGTTTGCTTCCTTGTCATTAGCCTGAGGAGAGCGCCGGGAAGATGAGTCATCAGAGCTCAACAACCAAATAGGATCCAGACTGCTTTAGTTCATTCATGTTTTTGGGCCCTGTGTGCCGCTAGGCTAGGGGACTGTGGGGTCTGGTTGGCTTTCTGAGCCAACAGCGTCCTCTGGACTTAATTTTCAGGTCTGTGTATGCAGAAAAGTGCTTGCAGTGTATTAATTGTGCTTCTTAAAGTCGTACCGCTGGCGTATTGTATCCCATCCTTCGTGTAGCCAGTGTTTGGCTTCCCAACACGCAGGTGACTCGCTTATCATACCCTCCCGGGCTTGTAAGTAATGCCCACGCGGGACCACGAAGGGGTCACGGTGGGCCAGCCCCGGCTGGGTCAGTCGTGCAGGGCCCAGGGCAGCTCCTTATCGAGCAGGTGTGAGGGGCGCAGGCCAGGCCTCCTGTTTTATCTCTGAGTGCCACTCCCCAGGCTCCCCGCTGGAACAGGGCTGGTCATGGGCAGATATTTTTGTGTCGTAACGTATAACATATCCTATAGGCGGTTACAGGAGGAGTTCAGTAAACCTAGATACAGTGAAGCACATGCGTCCTGTTTCAGAGCCCACCCGGTCGTTGTAAACGTCAGTTGCAAGGGACACTGAACTATGGTGTTTCTAACGGGAAAATGTTGTGAATGCGTCGTAACAAATCAAGACCTCTTGAGACTTTTCTTGAAATTTATCAGCTGAAATTCAAACGTAACTCTTGGTTTAAACAAGAGCAGTACTGCTGACTTCAGGGAAAGCCAAGTCTGAACCCAGCCGATGTGCTTCGCTAATTGTCCACGCAGCGGGTACCGTCACTGCCGGCAGCACCCTGCATATTTTCACATCCAGCGTGTAGAGTGAAAAAATGTATGTGCCGCTGAGCATGGTTCTCGTCTCTTTAACGTGCTGCAGGCTTTCCCAATCTGTCGTTGTTAAAGTACAGTCTGGAGTGATGCTAAGTAGTTTTGCAGCATCTGGCTGCGAGGCAGCCGGCTCATACGTAGTGCACACCACGATGTGTCTAAATCAATGGCTAATTCCTTCTCTGTTTTCTTTTGTGCAGGGCAGGAGAACGCATACTGCCTGCCTCACTATTACTGGAAGCAACAGATTGACTATTCGAGTATAAAAAGACTTAGCAAATAAAACTGATCATATATCATTCTCAAATTATTCCTCGTTAGTCCTTCTGTTGAAAAATGGATGAGAGGATAAGAGATAGTGAGACCAAGAAGAGGGAGGGAAAGGACTCACTGAAATATGAGCTTGTTGTATTTTGTAACTTACAAATAATATTGCCTTGAGTTATTCTTAGGAGGGGTTTGATTTCCATAGGAGAGCACCTGTGCTATAAACCCATCGGGAGTAGCAGAAGTCCTTCAAACACTAGGAATTTTGTTTGCTCTTTTATAACAGGAATTTTTGTGCCTTCCCTTTATTTAACTGGAAACAAAGGTGAAAAATGGAGGACAGGCTTGTAAGGAATTTTGACAGTGCTGTAAGAAATGAGGAAAGCGACCTTGCTGCTCACGCAGCTAGTGACTGCTCCAGCACCTTGTGTGGAGATGTTGTTTGAATTACTTGCTTCTCCTGCCAGAGACTAAAAGCATCTGGCATAGCCCAGCGTTATTACAAAATTGCAATGGTTGCACATATGCAGTGAGGTCCCTTCAGCGTCCCCCAAGGGACGTCGCTGTAGGTGTCGTGCGCTGTGCTGAATTTGGGGCAACAAGAGGCGGTTCGGTGCATGCCTGTCGCTCCGCGGTCTTAGGAGCCTCAGGCAAGAAGGGCTGGTTTGCAAATGCCAAACAGATTATGGATGAGGCAGGCACAGGTAAATCATAGTCTTGGACTTTGAAGTCTAAATCCTGACCGCATTGCACTTCAGGTGCATGCATGCTGTGTTCATGAGCACTACATAAAAGCAGGACGATGGAGTGGGGTGAGAAAGCCAAGGGCGGGCACCCCTGCTTTTTTTTCGCTCTTCCCATTTCAGCTGGGTCTCCATTTCAGCTCCCCGCTCCTCCTACCCCGCCTCATTCCGTGCTGTGCCCGGGTCTGCGGGAGGCAGCCGAGCTCAGCTGCTGCCGGATGGCGTCATCCGCCCATAAGTCATGCTTCGCCTCTCCGCGTGTCCGTGCCGGCTGATTTGTGGAGCTGTGCCGGGTGTTTGCAGAGGAAGGACAGGCCTCCGGAGGATAGTCCTGAAGGATGGAAAGCTTTCGGTCAGCACCTTTAGGCGGTGGTGCTACTAAAGAGGCTGGGACAAAATATTGCTGTGAAAGTGATGTTCAGGTGAGACCTAGCAGGAGTAGTTTCTGATTTTCATGGGACATACAATCCCTTTGTTTTTACTTGCTATGCACCTAGGTTATGGATAGAAATAAAAATTAAATTTAAGACTTAATAGGACAGTAATCATTTTCTGGTGTGGGGGGGGAAGTCTTTGCTTGCTTTTAATCTTAGATTAAAATAGTCCTTAAGGGGTATCACGTGATCCCCTACATGCAGTTTAGAGTAAACTTGTGGCAAAATCCATGAAATACATATGCCCGTTCTTCTTTATAACTTAGATCCAGAGCAGTTATTTTTGTGGCCCACCTTCACTGAGCCAGCGACCAGCAACTGTCATGGCTTTTTTTTTTTTTTAATTTTACATTGTTTGGGAGCTGGTTCACTAAACAGGCAAGAAAATACATTTTTTAAATAAGATGCAGCGTTGAGATCTGTGCCGTTAAGTTGTACCTAAGAAACCTTCCCAGCCAGACACAGACAGAAACGGCCTTGATGAGGATGTGCTGATTGATCGA